GAAATGTGTGTGTGTGTGTTTTTATAGCAACGCGGGACGCATATGACTTTATATTACATCCAGTGTTCGACTGTTTGTCTATCTTGAATCAAGATAGACAAATTTCCGCCTGATGACGTCTTTATCAAGATCCTTGATAAAGACGTCAAAGTTTTTCATATGCTAAAAAAAAGAAAACATTTCTGGAAAGACTGTTGTGATTAAATGGCGTATTTCCGTGACCTTGGCATATATTGCCGCGATTTGTATTACTAATAATATTAAAAGTAAGATATTTTAATACGTAAATTTTCAAGCTCCCATATAATTGTTGCTTATGATCTAATTTCAAACGCGCGAACACATATAACAATCAAAAGTGTGCTAATAATCGTCACCTGTGTCAATTGCAGCTTTTTTAATTATTAAGTAATAAAATAAAAATAGTCTAAAATCAATGAAAACATTTTAGCTAATGTGAGAAATCCATGTAAAATTACATTAATTGTGGGTAAAGTATATTTTGCTATCAAAGTCGCGATTTTGGACTTTTGCCTATTGTCAAAGACAATAGACAAAAGTCCTAAATCGCCGCAAATATTCATCCAGACAAAATGCCTCCCAAAATAAATGAATATTTTTTTTAATTACCAATTTTTTTCATAACATTTAGGTACTGTCAATTTTACGCTCCGTCGTCTTTCCGCTAATATGAATGACCAACTAGCCCAATCGTCAACACTATTGACAATCTCAGCATTTCCAATTCGAACGAACGCCTACCCGCTTGCACCTCTGTTCACTGCAGCACCACGTGTTTCGTTGGCGTCGGAAGCCGGTCAAACAGTATACGAGCGAACGCAAGCACTGTGTTTGCGTTAGCTTTGCGTGTTCCACACTGCGCGTGCGCGGAGCTCAAAACTGCGGTCTTGGATGCATGGCGCATGGAGATGAGGCGCATGCACCCAATGTGGGGCACGCAACTCTAACGCAACCACACACCGTTTGCGTTTGCTTCTACGCGCAATACTAAAACTCTCCAGTAAGGTACAATCCCATAGCGGCTGCAGCACTACTATTGTGCCTGGATCGCGTCTTTGACTGGCGTGTTTAGCGTCCTATCCCGCCCATACATCAAAAGTGGTCCCGAAGTGGCAACAAATGACGTCACAGAAGCCGGAGTGTCTTGTTGTTGACTGTCGCGATCCTGGCGTTTGGTCGTAGAAATGCTGGCGAAAAGCACGAGCGAAAGTGAGTGTCGCTGTCGTCACAGCGTCCCAGGCGTCCCAACTTCCAGCTGCTGTAGCTTCCGTGGACTGTCACATTGGAGAGTGACCTGCAGCAGAACAGGCGTCTGCCATATACACCACAACTGTTAGGACGCCGCCAGGATCGCAACCGGCGACAACATGACACTTGTATGACGTCATAAGCGGAAATCGAGGGACCACTTTTTTGGCCGCGGTAAACGCACCAGTCGGAGACGCATTCCAGGCACCATAGCACTACGTTACTACATTGGGACAGTGAACAGTGTTGTTCGCATTCAGAAATGAAAATTCGCAAGCCATGATCGCGAGCAGTTCCACCATGCCCGCTGAGTAGGAGAATCGAGGGGACCCTCACTAGAGCTCTTCCCGTTTCCGCCGTGGGAGGGCGAGCGTCGAGCTGGAGACGCGATAACTCATATAGCTGCAATAATACTTAATACAATAATACTGGTTGAATGAATGCAATAATACTTAACGCAATAGTACTGGTTGAATGAATGCAATACTATCGCATTCGTTGAAGCTTGATTTGTTGATTCGAACTTCAACAAATTACACGCACCCATTCTCCCTATTCCTGTTTAGCCAGTCATAGTCGTTCCCTCACGATGCAATACGAGTACAAGTAACGGCAGTTTATGCAATGTTGACGTTACGCAGCCGTGGTCGCACGGTTTTTAGAAGCCCTATAAAACGAGCACAAGCGTCGAATTTCGGTACACTGATTGATTTCTGTCTCCCCGCCGGGACGCGCCACACGAGAAAAGCGATTTCGTTCTGTCTGTGAAATTAGGAACACAGAAATCAAGTTATAATCCCAGTAATAAAACAAAGCGAAATGGATCTCTGCAGCCAATACCCAGCCGTTCGCGAGGTGACTAGACAAGAGCACATATTACCTCCGTGCCTTTACCATCTGCACACCGCCAGAGAGTCATACAAACTCCTTTGCGCTATTATCAACACGATTGCGTTTGCAAGCCGGTAGTTTGACTCGGCTGGGATTCGTCCCTTCTGGCTTTCATAGCTGTCTATGAAACCAGAAAGGTAGATACTTTTCTACATTGGGCGGATTTGCTCGGGGCCTCAAGTTAATTACGGCCAAAATCACACTAGAGGCGCTTCAGCAATGTTCACTCTGGTTGACACACGTGCTCTCTAAAAATGCCTGTCGTCTACTTTCCCAGAAGATACTTGAAAAGCCAATCATAGAGACCGACGGATAACGAGGCCGAAATTAGGCTTAGACCTCAAAAAAATTATAACACAAATTTGGCCTCGTCATTTCCAAACTGGTTGCCGGACGAAATTCTCTATGCGAATTGCAAGCCAGGATTGGTAATAGTAACATAAGATACGTACGGCGGAATTCCCTGCCATAAATAAAATGATTTGGCTCGCGCCAAAGTAACGTGAAATAGGTGCAAAGAGTTTCGCCAAAGGGACCGTAAAGCGAAAAAAAAGGAAAAAAAAAGGCTGAAGAAAAGGAGAAATAAGAAAAAAAATCTCTGGTGACGTGGCGAAAAAAAATTCTGTTCATGTGATTTTTCTTATCACGTGACCGAACAAAAAAAATAAACGAAATAAAAAAAGAACACAAGAAAAAAAAAAAAAAAACCATCCCCTGCCCGATTTTGAAGCTAGGCCCTCTTGATCGTGAAACTATCGCGCTATCCGTGGCGCCAACATTACATTTTTTTTCTTTCTTTTTTGCAAGTTGCGCCAACATAACTCTGCCTATAATGCTCACGCATTCTCACATCATGGGGGAAAGCTTAGGTGCCTTCGTAGTTTTCCATGCACGTGTTATTTTTATTTGTGGCAAGAGTTCACATTCCAGAATGCCTTTAGAGTTTTGGAGCAAAACGAGTTTTCTTCAACCGAGTCACCTTCCAGAGCCAGCAGACCGCACTGGGTCGTCCAGCTAATCAAGCAGCTATTTTCAAATTCTCTGACGTGCCCGTCCTCGCATCCGATGTTGCCGTTTGACAAGCTTAAGTTTCTTCCACCTGGTAGCCGGAACCCCCACGGCAGCTTTGTTCCGTCCCCACTCCCTCTCGAGAGGATGGCTCGCCCCGAGGCTAATCCCATTCTCTAGACGCTCTTTCCATCCAACACTGGCCCTTTCCCTCCCCGTCCCCCAGCTTCGGGAGAGAAAGTTCTTCCCTGCAGAACGTCCCGTTTGTACAGCGGCCTTCGACTACCAGACTCGAGATTCTGCAAGGCAGAACATCCTCCTCACCATAGAGGAGGAGGAAATAGGCAATGGTGGACAGGGTAGAAGGAGGGAGAGGAGGAAGCGAGGGAAAAGTGGAAAGTGCGAACTGGTCGTCGGCCTTTAAGAAAAATAACAAGGGAAATGCCATCAGGTCCGACAGCCTTGGTTGCATCAATTCCGCGCAGCAACTTCACTATACCGTTCATGTCAATTGTAATGCTGGGCATTACGCTTTGCTGCGTTTGGTAAGCCACTGGAGTCTTCCAAAAATACCGACTTAAAATACGAGTTAAAGCATTCAACCTTCGCGTTATCAGACACCACAGTACTACCATCAACTTTCAATGCAGGAATAGAAGTGTCTTCCTTTCTGTTCGCGTTGACGAACTTCCAGAATTCTTTAGGGTTTCTTTTTAGATTTTCGTTAAACTTGTCAAAGAACACTTTTTTGCTTAATTTTATTTGCAATTTGAGAAGCCTGTTAATCTCTTTGTACTTCTGCTCAGTTTGGACTGACCAACTTTTGGTCAGCGTTTTGTAAGCACGTCTCGCTTTACCTATAAGTCTGCGAATTTCTACATTAAACCAAGGCTTATTTTTTTTACGCTTCCTCATTTGTTTCGATGGAATATACACCTCCGCAAGCTCTAATATTTTATTTCTAAAAGCATGCCATAGAGTTTAGACGTCACTATTCTCGGACAGACGAATAAATGTATAAAAATAGGATTCAAGCTCTGCATCGATCGCTTCGTAATTACCTTTGTCGTACAAAAATACTTTCCGTGGACATTCCGCTTGCTTTCGCGTTTCGGGCTCCGAGAGCTTAGCAACCCGCGCAGTGATCAGTTATGCCGGGAAGTACAGTGACCTCGGATACAACGCCAGGAAAGTTGCATAAAATTAAATCCAAGACAGAATTCCCTCGCGTCGGTTTTTTAACATATTGTTCGAATTCAAATACACCGATTATGTCAGAAAACATCGAGTAAGCGCGGAGTCCATCTGTAGCAAGAACTTCATCAGACCAATTGAACCCTGGTAGATTAAAGTCTCCTCCCAAGAATACACTATCTGGAGTTGTCGTCAACAAGTCACCCAGTTTGTCTATCGAGTATGCATCACTATATGGGGGGCGATAAAATGTACCAAAAACTAAAGTGGTCCCCTTAGGTAAAACTACACGACACCATACAGACTCTGTGTCGTTTTCGGAAAAAAACTAGTTCACTACTACTCCAGTCTGATGAAATTAGCAAACACACACCACCTCCGTGTCTATTTCTATCTTTGCGGTATACGGAAAAACCAGGGGGAAAAACTTCGCAATTAGAAACCGAGTCATGCAGCCTTGTCTCTGTTCCCATAATAACTTTGGGTCTGATTGTCTCGACTGGAGATAAGAAATCGTCCACTTTATTTTTTATGCTACGGAAGTTCACAAGTAATACCGAGGCATCTACATCTGATAAAGCGGCATTTTGACAGATATCTCTCGCACTGCGTCAATCCTGCTGAATCGGTGGAGCCTTTTAACGAACGAGTACAGGCATGCTTTGTTCGAAATCCCAGGCGTACGCGTCTCCGTTGATAACGAGCTTGTCGTAGGTAAGATATACTTTGTTGTTCTTATCTTGTCGTTTATCTTTGAAATAGTCCCATAGCTTGCGCCTTTTTTCTCTGACAAGAGCACTGAAATCCTCGGAAACGCTGTAAGCAGAGTTTTTGAATTTAAAGGCGTTGCGCATGATGTTGTCACGTTCTTTCCAATTTCGAAAACTTGCTATAATCGGCCGACAGCTACGTTCCTTGAAAGTACCTAAACGGTGGGCCCTTTGTATTGAGGTGACATCAATATCTAGGTCACCTTTACAGATGCGTCTAACAAGAGTTTCTGACTCCTCCCATGACTCTCGCACTGTGTCATCAGGTATGCCAAAAAAAACCAAGTTTGTCCTGCGGCACCGATTTTCAAGGTCGTCTAGCCTTGCTTCCAGCTTTCTTCTATTTACTTCAACATCTGAGATCCGTTGTTCAAATTGCTCGTTTTTTGCAATTAAATTTTCTAGTTTATTGTGAATCTCCGTTTGTTTGCTTTCAATAACATTTAATGCTTGGGAGTGGCGGCTGCATTGTTCAAACGTGAGGTATTACTCTCGTGGCGCCACTTAGCCCAGTGTCTGAAGTAAGAAATACTGGGTAGGCCAGGAAGCCGTGATCGTATAACATGGCAGTACGATGGAAGCTACGGCCTGGCGGGCCAATCGGAACGTGACTACGTATCACCGGAGTGCGCTTTTATTGTAAATAAATAAGTATCAGACTTTTCGCTGCGTCATGGTCTAATATCTGTGCGTTGCGCTCGTATACGTAGCGCATATAGAAGCCATCGGCACGCAATGTGGGGCTTATCGTTCACCCTTTGCCAAGTTACAACGAGACAGGGTATAACCGTGGGCTCTCACTCTGCTGGCGCCGCCTGGCTGTTGCCGGCTGGCTCTTGCAGAAAGCTTCTAGAAAAATCCCGTGCAGGCCTGTAACAGTTGCGAACTGGGGCGTAGACGCTTATGGCCTGGAATTAGAGAATGTAATCAAGGATGCGACCGTCCAGGTCGCACAGTAAGAAAGCACCTCGCAGGAACAAAATGCGAAAAAATAAAACTCTAAAATTACGCGCTCCAGACGTTTTGGAAGAAAAATAACAAGTAATGAATAAAGCGGGCCTTGAATTACGACACGTCATGAACAGAAAAAAAATTAGTTTCTTGCAAAAAGAGAAGATTGCAGGGATTAGACTGGCCAAAAGGAATCAGCTAGCACTGTTGGTTTGGACTCCAAAAAACCCTGCACTTTTAACTAAAAAAAAAGAACAGCTAAAGTACAGGCGAGCTGGTTGATGTTTACCATGTTGCAAATTAACCTGAGACTAGGTTATGAAATAGGAACTTAAACTTAGAAGGGCAGAAACAAAAGAAGAAGAGACGTCTTAAACGCAGCTAAAAGATTTATTCAGTCCCACCTTCGTATAAACACACAGCCACAAGGTCACTAACGAAAGAACTTGCCCTTTGCTAGGACACAATACACCAAGACACACAAAGGAACTACCAGAGCAAAGAAAATATGCTAAGGGTGCAGGCAAGCTAGTGAATATTAACCATGTTGAATTAACTTAAAACTGGGGAAGAGAAGAAACATCAAAATGTAGAAGAGACATAAAATACACAGGACGACGTCTCTTTATTAGCCATTTGAACCCCATCAAGTAGTACAACGCCAACGTTGATATGTTCTAAAATGCTAAAAAGAACTTTGTGCACAACGCGATCACAAGCTTTTTCTTAATAAAGCTGCAACATTGCATCCCGGTCCCCTGTTGCGTCACAGCGCTCTAAAATGCTCCTTGCCACGTGAATATTGGTGGTGATAGTTCGGCCCCTAATGCCGCAAGTTTAAAGCGGCCCAACAATTACGTTTATTACGTTTTGCAGTCTCCTTGCCAAGACCTTCATAAACATCTTATAGTCGACGTTCGCTAAGCTGATGGAACGATAGGACGGCAGTGGAGAAATTCGATAAAGCGATTCTCTTGAGATGCACTCTCCCACAGTCCTAAACCTGGTTTTAACACATGGAGCTTATTTTCACTTTCTTGGTCCCATTCAGACTGCCACTTTCGGAGGAGTGCTTTTTTAATGAGGGGCTTCATATCTTGGTAGGGTAGGCCAGTAGAGGTCACCGTGAGATTTTTTGTGGAGGTAGCTAACTGGTCTGCTTTTTCATTGCCCAAGAGTCTAACCATGACTGGGGATGATGAAAATAATCCCTGGAGAAGGGGAACAAGAGGGACAAAGGACAACATAAAGCGTTGTCTTTGTCCCTCTTGTTCCCCTTCTCTAGGGATTATTTTCATCATTCTGGTCCAGCTCGCTTGCACCTTTGCATTCAATTGCATTATAATTATGACTGGGGATCCAGCAAAACTTTATATCATGGCCACGAACTAAGGAACTATTTATTTTAAATCGCACTAATTGGGCTAGCTTATTTTTGGTATCTTTTACTGAGTCGAGAGCTGAAACAACATTCTGTGAGTCCACGAAGAGAACAGCTTTCATAGTTTTGCTTGCCATAATGTATTAAATAGCCATCAATACGCCATAGAGCTCTGCGGTGAAAAAACTAGCCATGCTTTCGAGTCGTTGGGCCTTTGAAAAATCTTCAGAGTAAACGGCAGTTCCTATGGAGGAGGAGTTCTTGGATCCATCAGTATAAAAGTGAACATAGTTGCTGTATTCCTTTTGTGGCTCAACAAATTCTTGTTGAATAATAAGTGGAGAAACGCTATGTTTACTGAACCGTGTAAACGTCCAGTCACAGAAAACTGGAAGCAGCTCCCAAGGTGCAATGCGTAGAGGCTTCTTAAGGAGTTCTATCCCATTAAGGTAGAGTTGAAGAGATTCCTGATCACTTCCCACACGAAAACTTAAAGGTCTAACCGTCCTCAGCTTGTTCTCGAAAAGACGGACGTACCGAGATCGCTGCAAAGTAGTAAAGGTTGGATGGTCGAGGTCAGACATAACCCGGGAAGCATGCCACAGGCCTAAATACTGCCGTCGCTTCGCAAGGGACATGTTTATTTTTTATTTATTCAGATACCTACAGCGCCATGGGGCATTACAGTAGGGGGGGAGAAGTTGGAAATGAAGAACACGAATAGTTATACAAAAGTTAAAAGAGCAATATTCACAAGCCATAAATCTTTCAGTATCACAACAAAGTGCAGGCTACATAAAAAATAAAAATGCGGTCTACTAAACACTCCGAACGTTACTCAACTACTAACTAGACACTACGAGGTTAGTGTTGAATAAAACATATCGTTAGGAACAATGTTGACCACCGAGGCTGGCAAACCGTTCCAATCCCGTATTGTTTTAGGAAAAAAAGAGTTCATATAGACGTCACTTTTACAGCGGAATTCCTTGACCTTATACACATGATCCTTTCGTTGCGATATGTAATCTGGCGGGTGAAGGTAGGCGTTTCTATCTATCCCAGTCCTACAGTGAAATATGTTATTAAAAAATTTCAGTCGAAGGTTCTTCCTTCTAAAGCTTAACTCCTTCCATCCTAGGCTCTGTTTCGCACGAGTCATACTAAGTCGCCTGTCGTAATTGTTTAAAACAAAACGGGCAGCCCGGTTTTGTACTTTTTCAAGTTTGATTATCTGGACAGCAGTGTGAGGATCCCATATAGTGCAGGCATATTCTAAAATTGAGCGGACATGCGAAAAATAAAGTCTCTCTTTCAAGGAACGTGGTACAGGCTTAAAGTTACGAGCGAGAAAGCCAAGCATTCTCGAGGCTTTAGAGACAGTATAGTCAATGTGCTTACTCCAACTTAGGGTCGAGGTTAGGAATACACCAAGATATTTGTATTCGTAGGCAACAGTGAGTGGCTCGTCATTAATGGTATAAGTACTGAGGGACGGAACACGCCGTCTCGTAAATGGGATGTGGACAGTTTTCTTAAAATTAATATTCATTTCCCACAGTTTGCACCAATCGGTAATTGCATTTATGTCTGCCTGTAGAATGTCGACGTCATCACTCGCTCGTATTTTTCGATAAACAACACAATCGTCTGCAAAGAGACGCATTGGTGATGACACAACACCCACGATATCATTCAAGTACAGCATAAACAACAGCGGCCCAAGGACGGACCCTTGCGGGACTCCTGATGTCACGTCAGCAAATTCGGACTGGCAACCATTTAGCACAACATATTGCTTACGGAGAGACAAATATTCGCGTATCCAATATACCACTTTCTTATCAATTTTATAACCGTGAAGTTTCGCAATTAACAAGTCATGGGAGACAACATCAAACGCCTTGCTGAAATCAAGAAAAATGCAGTCAACGCTATCACGGCCATCAAGAGCACCTGCCAATTCATGTACAAACTCTGTTAGCTGTGTCACACACGAGTAGCCTTGACGAAAGCCGTGCTGGGAGGAATGTAGTATTCCCGAGGCATTTACATGATGGATTATGCCTGTATATAAAACGTGCTGAATTACCTTACAAGCGATGCTAGTTAGTGAAATCGGACGGTAATTTGTGACCACGTTCCTTGGGCCACCCTTGTGTATCGGGACCACCCGACCAAGCTTCCAATCTGACGGTAATGATGATGTATCTAAAGATTTTTCAAAAAGAACATAAAAATACAGGCAGACTACACCAGAGCATGACCTCAGAATACAAGGAGAAATGTTGTCGGGGCCTGTAGCCTTGCTAACATCAAGTTCATTTAAAAGCTTTCTAATCCCTTCCACTTGGAGTGTGATCGGAGGCATCTCATTAGTCACAAAGGGCGCATCGAAAGAAACATCCCGCTGTGCAGGCGGGTTAAACACGGAATAAAAAAATGAATTCAAAAGCTGGGCCTTATCGGTATCACTTTGTACAACACTGTCATCGTGATTAAGCGGCGGAACGGAGATATCACTTTTGGCATTGCTGCGCACGTATCTCCAGAACTCCTTTGGATTATTCTTCACCCTCTCTTCAAATGCCTGGAAATATTGTTGTTTGGCTGTATGAATGCTGGTTTTTACATGTGCAGTTAGTTCGCTCAGCTTGGCAAGATGGGCTGCAAGTTGAGTGCTACGGTACTTGAGGAACGCCCTTCGCTTCTTTTGAATTCGCTTCTTTTGAATAAGGCTACGGAGCTGGCGAGATACCCAAGGTTTGTCACGTGCACGCTTCGAAGTAAGCATAGCAGAAGGAACAAAGCAGTTCGTTAATTCAGTTATTTTGTTCTTAAAAACACGCCAGAGATCCTCGATACTCAGTTCCTCAGCCAACGTTTCAAAGGTTGGAAAATACGAATCAAGTGCAGCTGACATGCTATCATAATCTGCTTTGTTGTATAAAAACACCTTCCGCGGTTTTGACCGACCGACATTGGTATTTGCAAGGTTAACATCTGCCACAACTACTTTATGATCGCTGATGCCAGTGATGACTTGCGTATTTGAGATCATGTCTGGCGTATTGGATAAAAGTAAATCTAGAATGTGGCCCGTTTTATCGTCTCGCGTTGGCTCAAGAACGTGCTGTTCAAGTGAACACAGGTCCATAAGACTGAAAAACTCGTTATATAATTCTCCTCCTGCACCAGTCCTGTGATTATTCGCCTTCCAGTTAATTGCAGGTAGATTAAAGTCACCTCCAATTATAATTTTAGCGCATCTAATAGTAGAAACAATTTCAGACAGTGAACTTAAAACGCTCGGCTGTGTACCTGGTGGCCTGTAAAAGGCACCAACGGCCAGCCGTTCACCATTACCCAAGGAAAGTTCGCACCAAACGTTTTCAACGTTTTCAGTTTCAATCGGCATTTCTTTGGAAACAATACTTTCATGAACAAGAATAAAAACACCCCCTCCGTGGGAATTTCTATCTTTTCTATAACACAAGTAATTGTCAGGGAAAACCTCTCGATCGAGAACGTTTTCGTCCAGCCACGACTCCGTCCCGATTACAACCTGTGACTGAGTCATGTTTACAAGCTGCCGTAGCTCATCTACTTTATTTTTCACACTTCTACAGTTGACAAGGGTTATGTTTATTGGACATTCTTTGCGGTTATTAGGTAGTCAATGCTGAATCACCAGCTTTGCCTCATCATCCCAAGTGAATTTGACCCCGTCTAGGAGCAAGCAGTCATGTTTTAGCACAACTTTGCTATCCGGTCGACGGTGAGCCTTCGCGTATTCCCATAAATGCTTTCTTACAACACGAACAGATTCGGAGAGGTCTTCTGAGATGCTTAAATTTGTACCTTTTAGTTTGCGAGCATTAAACATGATTCTTTCCTTATCTTTTAGAAAACGAAAACTTGCAAAGATTGCTCGGTTACGATCAGTAGACTGCTTGCCTAGCCGGTATGCCTTTTCGATAAGAATATGATCTACGCCTAAACGAGTGTGGCACAGGTTCGTTACAAGTTCTTCACAAGCAGCGGCGGTTTCTTTCGCATTTGATTCAGGGAATCCGTAAAAAATCAGATTACTGCGGCGGCTACGATTTTCGAGAGTTTCTACCCGGGATGACAGAGCTTGTATCTGCGTAAGTTGTGCGTCACATTTTTCTTTATACTCTTGAAGAACAGTCTGTATATTGTCAAGTTTATCAATTTTCGCTTCCACTGATCCTATACGGTTGCACACGTCATTCAGTCTGGAATCGGCCGATGCCTGGTTTGCTTCGATTTGATTTAATTTGGCCATTAGACGCTGTTGCCCATCCAGCAGTCCCTTTAGCTGCACCTGAGGGCCAGGGTTCAATTCAACATCGCCGCAAAGAAGTAAAAGCAAAAAGTAAAACGCGTAATTTCTGAGTAACAGAAAACGCCGCCTGACACAGTTGGTCGTCGTTCGACAAGCACTCATTGATGCATGCAGCTCATGGGGTGGAACCGGCAAGACATAGACATAAAAACGTGCAGGACAGAAACCAACCTGCGTCAGCAGAAGAGTGCTTGTCAATCGCGGCACCAACATGACGCCGGTTCCACGCCCCAGCGCCGAAATGGTGCCTGCTGACTTATGTAGACGGTAGTCCCCAAGAGCAGCACTCGGAGCACTCCATTGTTCGTAGCGGACGATGTCGTTTTCGCCAAAACCGAATGCTGGGCACACTTCATTCTCGTAGTTGTTGTCGTCGTAGAATTCGTCCGAGGACGACACGTGGTAGCAGGCCCAGTCCGGCGCAGCGATGCAAAAAGCCTGCGTCAGCAGAAGAGTGCTTGTCAATCGCGGCACCAACATGACGCCGGTTCCACGTGGTGAGATTCCAAATACAAGCCAAGCACAGGAGACGTACGGAAGGCGCCCGTGGCGAGGCGCAAGCCAAGGTGGTGCACGGGGTCCAGCATTTTCAGCGAGGACGGTCGCGCTGAGTTATAGACTAGAGCACCGTAGTCAAGACGGGATCGCATTAGAGAGTTATACAAGCGTAATAAAACCTTTCTGTCTGAAGCTCATGGTTTGTGAGACATAACTTTGATAATGTTAAGGGATTCTAAGCATTTCTGTTTTAGTTGCTGTAAATGGGAGTTAAAATTAAAATTTTTGTCGAAAATAATACCCAAGAACCTATGTTCAGCTTGTGGGATTTCCCTTGCTGCTACCCGTCTCGGAGAATGACACAGCACACCGGTTCAACAACACGTAAACATTTAATGACCGCTATCGCCTGCGCCGCGATCCCAACAGCTCCCGCGCATCCGCTGCGACGGCCTTTTATCAGCGGCGGAGCGCCGCTCGCGTAACCAGTTGCCCTTGGCCCCCTCGGGGTCAAGATTACCACTCATGATTATCGGAGGGGCAGCCTGGGCCAACCGCTTGGAATCGCCAGGTTGCCCACACATCTCCCCCCTTCCAAAAACGAAAACAGAGGACGTCTTTGATGGTCTTGGGGGGGCCTTCCTTCTGGGTCAGCAAGGGTCTTCTCAGATGAGCGAGCACGGGTCCGACGTCAGTACTTCCGGACAGTACCGATGCAGCCGTGGGGGGTGGTCTGATGATGGGAGCTGCGTCGCCGCTGTCTGGCACGAGGAACTAGAAATTAAAAACAACATGAGGCCATGGCGCGGTAGGAAAAAGTAGCCGTGCACACTAAAGATGCCTGCCCCACTGTGCATGCGGGAGAGCGGACCCTTTCTCTTATCCCCCCCCCCCCCCCAAAAAAAAAAAAAAAAAAAAACACACCGAAGAGGGCATGAACACAATGCACTTAGAACTCGTGCTACTCCCGGTCGTCTTCACCGCCGTCTCAAGTTGTACCGCGGTAGAGACGGTGTGGAATCTTCCGAGAGGTGGTCCGGATAGTCGTCATCTGGAACCTGCGACACATCTACCTCCTCGGGTTCATAGAAAGCTTTTAGGTCGGCGACATGGACAGACCCGCACACTTCACCAGATTCACAATGCACCAGCTCATAAGACAGGTTGGAGAGCTTGCTACTAACACGGTAGGGGCCATCCCACCTCTTTGCTAAAGAGGCCGTGAAGCCTCTAGCAGAATCGCTCAGCGGATGAGTTCGCCTCAGTACCAGATCTCCTACCTTGAACTGCAGATTTCGCCTCCCCTTGTTGTACTGGTTTGCCTGCTGCAGTCTCGAGACGTCGAGGCTCTCTCGAGCTTCACGCAGGTTCTCCGTGAAACGCTTCCGGAGATCTTCTGCGAACTGCGTGGTTGTGCGCTGCATGCTTGCAGGATCTGTGCAAAGGAGGCCGTTTCCCAGGGGAAACACGAGCTCTTTCCCAAAGTTAAGTTGGGCCGGAGTAAAACCCGTGGACCGGTTGATTGTTGTGCGGGTAGCGAATGCCATTTCTGCTAATTTCGCGTCCGAGTCTTTGTGTCGCTCTGTATGCGATACAAGCATCTGCTTCAGGTTACGGTTCACTCTTTCCGTGATATTCGCCTGTGGATGGTATGGCGAAGTCCGTTTGTGCCGTATGCCTAGCGCCTTACTCGCATCCACGAACACCTTGCTAACAAAATAAGAAGCGTTGTCTGTAATAGGCGTTGCGGCAAAGCCAAAACGCGCGAACGTCTCAAGAAGACAGTCCCAGATTTACTTAGAGTCTAGTTTACGCAAAGGAAACATTTCGACCCATTTTGTGAAATGGTCGGTCACTACTAGCAAATACTGATTGACGCGTGGACTACGGGGAAAGGGACCGACAACGTCGCAGGCAACACACTCCCAGGAGTACTTGCTTTCGACCGACTGCATTAAACCTGGTGGTTGGCCACCTCGGGGTTTTACCTTCTGACAAACCGGGCAGCTACGTGCGTACCTCATCACATCCTGCCTCATACCTGGCCACGTTGCAATTTGGGACAACTTTTCGTAAGTTTTGCTCCCACTGCTGTGGCCTGCCAAGGCTGGATCATGCATATATCTTATAAATGACTTACGCAGTTTACGTGGTATTACAGACCGGAATGGCGGGCCGCTGTACCCATCGTCCGCCTGGGGGATGTATCGCAGCAGGATGCCGTCGCTGCTGAGCAGGTATGAGTCCAAGTCTCTGGGATTCCCAGCGTCGGCTGAGTTTTCTTCTGCCAGCTGGTGCATCACCTTCTGACAAAGTCCATCGGACAGCTGGGCCGCTCGGAGCTCCTCTCTGCTCACCAGGGTTCCCCACCGCGACTCTGGTGTGATGGGCGCCGCATTGGCCAGTGCCACCAAGTCGGGATTCACCTGCATTTCCTGCCCGAGAAGTGGTGCACGGGACAACGCATCTGCAACGTGGTTAGCCACTCCACCCTTGTACTCGATTGTGTATTTATAGCGCTGGAGCGAAAGGGCCCATCGAGCGAGTCGTCCTGCAGGGTTTTGAAGCCCTTTGAGCCACGAGAGAGCCATGTGGTCAGTTTGAATGCTAAACGAAGCGCCGTCAAGGTACATGTCAAACTTCTTAAGCGCAAAAATAATTACCAGGCACTCTTTTTCGGTTGTTGAGTAGTTTCGCTCCGCTCCGGTTAACGTATGACTGGCGAAAGCTACGGGACGAAGAACGCTGTCATGTCCCTGCAGAAGGACTGCTCCTAATCCGTAATCGCTTGCGTCGGTCTGCAAGACGAACGGATGATTCAAGTCGGGCAGGTTTAA